TTTATAATTTGGAGCAAGGCATTTCTTATTTTCATGTTACAGTTGGTAGCACAGCAAGGCTTCATCCAAGGCAGACTGTCCAGGGTCCTTCATAGAAATATAAAATAAATACCAATAGTGATGCCTCCAGTCAGGGCTCTGGGACAAGAGCTCACTTTAATTTATTTCATTAGAAAACTGGCAAGATGAATTGCTGCAACACGTGAGGGTTTTTTAAACAGTTCCCATTGCCCTGTGGTATTTGTTGGCTCTGTGTACCCACTGCAAATCAAAGGTGACATTTAAAGGAATTCACATCTCATAACCCCTCTTACTTTGCAGGTCTGATATGCATGCACAGGTTTTACAGAAGCAATTTGCCTTCCCTTTGCAGGCTCCAGAAGTTAAGCTGTGTGTTGCCTCCAGTATTCCTCTCTGCAGTGCTGCAGGCAATGCCTTCAGGAACTCGTTCTTTTATCAGGTTTGTCAACTTCACATCTAACCAGCCTGTGTAATATTTTACATGCATTAAGTTATGGACCTAGGAAGTGAACTGCAGGAAGGTTTCATGTTTTTAAATCATTATATGTTTGATGTAAGACCCTTCAAGGTTAATGGCATGCTCTGGATTTCTCTGAATGTGAACTTAATAGAGCACTGTAGAATACAGAGATTTAAAAAGGGGCTGATGTGGGGTCGTACCCAGAGCATCTTATTGTGCTCATCCAGTCTCTCATGTTCAAATTACTGATTTTTCTATAGGTCACCTTTATAGAAGTGAGCAATTTATCAGCATTTTACTTGCTATAACCAGACACACAAAATAGATTCTGTATTCTAAAAGTGAAGTATTAGAGAGAAAAGCTTTCTAAAGTTCATAATACACGGAGATACAACTGTCTAGAAACACAGTGTGAGAAGGCTTTAGATTTCACACATAAGAAGGTGTCCCAAATTGAAGCCTTATGACAGTGCTGTGTTGTTTGTTATATGGATATTCCCCATGTAAAACCAAACCAGTGGCAGAATTCTCTCTCTTCAGCTGCCCATTGGCTGTGCTCAGCTCAGGATATTTGTTCTTTTTCAGACTTCAAAGAAAAAACTGTTCATCCTGAGGGATTGTCTGGGTTCTGTGGGAAGCTTCCTCCTGCTCCTTGTGCACTGCTTTGCTCACATTGCTGCTGCTGACTTCAGCCAAGACACCAACCCAACCTTCCTGAGGCTTTTTTATCAGGTAGCTCTGCGTGCTCCAAATGTAATTATGTTGTATTTGGAAAACATATACCAGATATGTACATATGGATTTATTGAGAAATAAATATGGAACAGCAGTGTTCTTCCCCTAACTTCTCAATCAATACAAGGCAGCCCTTTCCATCCAGCCTTCAAAACAGTGCACTTTCTATTGCAGGAGATGCACAGTCACCTTTTTCCTCAGAGATGTCCCTACTGTGCACAAAGTGATTTTAGGCCCCTGCCAAAATCTGCCTTTTTTAAGTGGTGATTTTCCTCACGATTGTCAAGAACGACCAAATAGCCCAGCTTCTGCTGGTGCTGGGCACCACGTCCTCATCCTGCTTCTGTCTTGAACAGCTGCATGTTAACCACACCACTGAGCAGATTTGTGGGCAACATCAAATGAGACCAATAATGTTTTGGGGGTGATTATTAGGATATCAAGAGAAGCTTTTGTTTGACTTGCTCTACCCATCATCCGTACTAATCTCTGGTCAGAGGGTAGTTTTAAATGTCACGTTCAACTGCTTCCAGGTATTCAAAGCTGTTTCTCTCTCTTTCTAGGCACTGAAGACTTGCCTTGGTGAGATGTTTTCTCTCAGACTCCAGCTGTCAGCAGTTCTCCAAGGTAATAAATCCTCTGGGATAACTCAGATGTTGCTGAAGGAAGAGCCGTTCTCCAAGGAAGAAATAAGCCTGATCTCCCAACTTTTTGAGGTGAAAGGGAAAAACTTCACAGAAACTGAAGCCTTTGAGAAGATAATAAAACAGACTGAGTCCTGGTCTGGTTGAAAGCTCTTCTTTTTATACACGCTTCATTACAAAATGGCAATTAAAAGCTGCTTATGGATATTGGCCCTCACACATTTGCAGCCACCAATTCCCAACAAACACCCGTTTCAAATCTAACAGCCTCACAAGTAGTAGCACAAGCTACCATTTTTACCTGGAAAAAAAGACCCTCGTATCAGAAAAAAATTACTTGGCCTCATACAAATCACAGCCTAAAAAGCAGTACTCTGAAAAATGTATGTAAAGAGTCTATTAAAGGCCTTTAAAGTTAACACTGATCTGCTCTCTGCGTTTTGTGCTTACTGAATGACAAGTTTGAGGAGCCACCAAGTGACAGCTTGTTTGAGAAGAGAAAAAGGCATTTCCTTCATGCCTTAGGCAGCTGTAAGAAGGGCAGCTTTGGGTGGAGGATGTGATTTGTGATGGTGTAGCTGAATGCAAAGCAAATCGTGACACCTCATGGTGAACTCAGTTTACACTACAAAGCCAGTCTTCACAACCTGCTACATCTGGGCAGGTTGCATGAAGAGCAGGTCAGATCTGCTGCCTGAGTATGGCAGACTGATTGCTTCTCCCTAAAATATCACCACCTTCTGGATAACAGAAGTCACATTTCAGAGAAATTAGTCTAGCTTGGTCTCATGAAAAGCCTACTGCTGTCAGTAACAGCAGCACTTCTACTGGCTGATTTTAAGCACTCAATGCCTTTAACTCTGAAGAAGAAATCTGTACTTATCTCCTGCAGAACTTGAGGATTAAGTAGATGCATTAATGGAAAAGATACCATAGAGAATGAACATCTTTCACAAACGTTTGCTTTTACCTTGGATTAAGTACTTTAGAGAAAGACCAGTTGGTAAAGCAAATAAAGGCAGTAGAAGAAAAAAACAGCCCAAGACAAAAAAGCTTTTATGATCCTCAGAAGACAACTTGGTGGCTTGGTTCTGAATTGGCCAGCTGCTTTTGGTCCCAGGCTTTACATGAGAATGTTGAGTTGTCATTTTATTAGGCTAAAATCACGAGTCAAAGTGTGAAAGACAACATTTCTTATTCACTGATCATCACCTCTTCTGCCCCTGCAGCCTCTGGTTTAGGTAACAAGTGGGAAGAAACAGCACACCAGAATCTATGAACTTTAAATGATGTCAGAACCCACTGAGTATCCTCACATTAATGCTGCTGAATCATTCAACACTGAGAAGTGGGTGGGTTATCACTGCTTCATATTATGCACACAGTCTGTTATCTTCACCCTACACTGAGATCTCACTAGGAGAGAAAAAACAGATTAAAATAGATGGATTATGGTGCTGGAGGACAAAGCACCGTCAAAGCTGCAGAATTAGTTGGAAGCACTACTGCTGACTCTCAGGGACGAAGAAGCCTCCCACCTCACATCTTCTCCTTTATTCAGTTTATTCAGTGCCATACAGATCACAGCATTTGCACAGAGCCAACTTCAAAACAGTCTTTTAAAAAGGAAAGCCTTTATAGTATGAGCAAAATTGTTGTGTTTTTTTTTTTGTATCTACTAAACCCTATTAATGCCAAGTTTGACTTCAATGTGATTTTTTTTCTGAAGAAAGACAGCAAGTTGTGGTGAAGCAAGACAGACATTACCTTACTTAAGAGGAACAGAGAACTCAACCTTGTTAGTTATCACCATCCACACTGTGTTCAAAAGTTGAGAGGATGCAGTTTGAGTAACTGTGGCTTAATACAAACGTGTTGTTTGTTTTAATTAAACACCAACTATGAAGTTACCTGAAAGCTACACTTATAATTTTAATCACTTATTTGACTTGATTTTTACAGGCAGCCCTTGAGGCTCAAAACGGCTCCTGGTTGTCTTCTTTTACAAAGCTTCTCTTTCAGGACTGCACATCAGTCATTTCCATCACTGCTCACTAGGTAGCAAAGGAGGATTACAGCAAGAAGAAATAACTGCAGTTAGCAGTCATATGTATCTGCATGAGCTATTTTGAGAGCAAGCTTGTTGAGCATTTTCAAGAGATTAAGCAGCAGGACAAGCTACCACCATTGCTTTTACCCTCGTGGCCCAGTTTAAGGAGCAGGAAGTGTTGGACGAGGAGACAAGTCAGTAGGAAAGTCAGAGCAAAGCCATCGTGTTGAGTGGCTGCCAGGACTGAGTCAAATAAAGCATCCTAGAGCACAGCTCAGAAGCCCAGTAGTGTTCCAACGAGCCCTTTCTTACTGAAAGCATAGCCTCCATCTCTCCAGAGTTCTGACTGAGTGAGAAGACAGCTAAAGTGACTCACGTGGTTTAGGAAAAGCTTCCTGGGGGACACAGCACTGCAGAACAGGCATCCTTTGATAAATACTCCATCCATCGAGAAGGTGATGTTTGCTGTGCTGCTCACAGCTGGGGAGAGCTACACCATCATCTATCCATCCCTCTCCTGTCCATAGGCTGGCTTCTTCTGACAGGTGAGCTACAGGCTAGGAACCAGAAGCCCAGATGGAGCCACAGGAGCATCCTGCACAGCTGCACACAGCAGAGCTTCACACACTGGGAGGTGCAGACATTTTGCTCCCAGTGCAACTAACGCTGCTGCCCTTGCTACCTTGGCCAGAAGAAAGCAGAAGGTCTGCTTGTCCTCAGCTCTAAGGGTGTATTTATTTATTATCAGTCTTCCTTGACTCATGTTTTGACCAAACAGCTTTTTTTAAACTCCCTTCAGGCACCAAGAGGGGATTGGACAGCTTTTTAAAAGAAAACATGATTAGATTTATTGATATATACGCATTTCCTTTTTAGCTTACAAGTAGCATCTCACATTAATTTTCAGTCTTGTTAACACTGTTAAAATATTAAAACGTTATTTAAAAACCCAGAGTTTCAATAGCACAGAGTAAGAGGATAGGGAACAGACAGTAAGCACATTCTCTTCTCGTGAAGCTCTGTAGCACCAGCCTTCATCCCACAGCACAGCTGAGTGTTAGAGGCTCTTGGAACAGAGACAGCCACGGATCTACCGCTTGGTGTTGATCCAGTGGTATCTGTCAACACGTGGTCCTGGGAAAGCAACAGCTGGCCTGAAGGCTTTGAAAGCCCTGTGCTGGGCATAGGATGAGCCACTCGTGTGTGTCTTCCTATGAAGATACTGAGACCAGGACTGTATGGGTGTCTTGCAGTAGTCAAACTAGACAACAAGAAATGAGGCAGCATTAAGATGTGTCTGGGCAAGAAAAGGGAGCTAAGTCTGGCCAACAGCTGTCTGTCTGTCACACCTCTGTGAAGGAGCCTCCGGGACACAGACGGTGGCTTTCACCAGCAGGGACAGTCACACTTACCTGGTAGACGCTGTTGGGATTGCTGACAGTAGGGATGGCCTTTGGTTCCCTGTTGAAGCTCTCCTCATCCGAAGAGGTGCCGGAAGGATAATCCAGAGCTGCTCTGTCAACAGCATGGTTGATCTGCTGCGAAAGCTCTGGGTTCTCCTCTCCTTCAAAGTGAGCAACTGTGAACGGCCGGTTCTTCTCTCCATACCTGGAAGCAACCGCGTTTGTGCCACACAGCTCTGGAGCAGCGGTGTGGATACAACTCACCTGACGCTACCAAGGAAGCACAACCTCAGCCTCTACTAACGGGCTTGGAGAGAATGAGGTTCCACAGAACACCTGGCAGATGATGGTGCGAGTCACAGGTTAACTCACCTGCAACACACTTCAAATGGATCAACCCACAGCGTCATCTCTTTCGGCAAACCAAGCTTGTTGAAGTCCACATTGCTCTCCACACAAGCTTGCTCCAGCAGCGGATCTCTTGCCTGATGCTTGTTTATCCTTATGCACCTGGGGAGAGCACAAGTGCAGGCAGAACATTAGACTTCACTGCCACTTTGCAGTTCCGCTCCAAGAAATAGGATTAAGTCCACCATATTTCACCTCGACACAGCTGGCCTGGGGTTGCAAACTCTCATTTATAGAGAACATCAGAAAGTTAGCCAGCAACTCCACCATTTTCAGAAGCTTAATTTAATATAGAACTCAGTTTAAGGCCACCTGTGCAGGACTCAAGAAGTCAGGTCCTCTCCCCTTTCCTTAAAGGCCCTCTTACCTGAAGGCCTGTCCTCGGGATGGATTGTCCAAGTACCAATGGTTCTTGTACTTTTCAAACAGCAGTGTTGTCAGCTTAGCTGCAAATCTCTCTATTTTATGCTTGCTCAGCTTGTCTTCTCTTTTTATCAGCCTCGTGATGAAGAAGACAGTAGCAGCAATTTCATCCTTCATTTTAAATCCAAGCACTTTAACTGTTGGAGAGTCATCAGGAGAGATGAGACACTACCCTGGATCAATTTAATGGCACTGAGGTGCTATCAAGTTCCAAGAAGAGATGTTAAAACCCATAACCCATCAAATAAAGCTTAAATAAACCAAACTACCAAATAAGAGGATACTTCAGTTCAGGGTATTGCACCACCTCAACAGATTCCTAGAGAGCACTCACAGTGCACTTGTTAAAATGCAAAAGCTTAAGAGGTCTTAGCCCTTAACAGCCTTTATGCATTGAGTCAACACCCAGCAGGGCTCACAGAGCTGCTTCACACACCACAAAGACCACAAACATTACCTTCTCAGACCAAAGTTGTTGAAAACCTGAGATATATTTCATGTACAACTTCAGATAGCCACAAAAGAAACAGATTTAATGCTACAAAAACCTCTACAGATTTTGCTTGCTTTTTTTTTTTTTAATTAAAAAAAAAAAAAAAGAAGAAAAACATAGGAAAACTCCTCCCAAAAAATACCCAACCCTTCCCTCACCATTGCACCACCACATCTTGCTCAGGTTTTATATCCAGCTGGCCCTGAGGGCTGTAACAGCATTCAGGTGTGCTCCATTAGCTGATCAACCTGCGGGGCTCCGGGCTGCATCCACTCTAGGTGGTTTTATCCCAATATCAGCTTCCTCTGTTAAGGTACGTTTAATGGATTTTCATCTCCATCAGCCTGTTAGTTAAACACCAGTTTAATACAGAAGCGAGTAAACTTAATGAGTGGTCACAAACTCCTTTTGCTGCCATTAGTGGAGTTTGTGCAGCGTTGCTCCTTGCCCTCACATTTGGTAGCTGGGGGAGGTGGGGGAGTCACCAACCCTGGAAGTGTTCAGGGAATGTTTAGATGTGCTGAGGGACGTGGATTGGTGAGAGCTGCTGGTGGGTGGTTGGGATGGGTGATGTCAGAGGTCTTTTCCAACCTTGGTGATTCTGTGATTCTATTCTAAAGATTGGATGACTGTATTTATCAATGTTCATGTCTTCTGATGACCCTAATGGGCTTTTTTTGTTGTTGTTTTTATGGTATTTCACAGAGGATGTGAGTGACTCTTTTAAAGAGTTCAAACCAGTTCCTGGAATGTGAGTGCTTCGTTAGGGGCCTCGAGCTGTGCTAGGGGAGGTTCAGGTTGGATGTTGGGAAATATTTCTTCACCAAGAGAGTGGTCAGGCGCTGCAATGGGCTGCAGGGAGGTGTTGGGCTCCCTGGGGGTGTTCAGGAAGCATTTAGATGTGGCACTGGGACCTGGCTTAGTTCAAAATACTGGTGGTAGGCAGACAGTTGGACTGGATGATCTTGGAGGTCTTTTCCAGCCTGTTGAGTCCATGATTCTATGCTTCATTGTTTAAAGTTGTAGGCAGTAAGCTGATGTGTTCTCTTTTTCCCCTTCTACCTGCGGAATTTGTGCCACCAATGCTGGATATCAGAAAGCATTCAGTCAAAATGACAAATGAAGGTGAAAAGAGCTGAGCGCTTACACAGCTTCTCGATGTGGATGCAGGTGTTGAAGCCGAGCAATGTGAGCGCTCGCAGGGCTGGCTGGGGGCTGAGCAACGCATGGATGGCTTGCAGGCGGTCTCCTGCCTTCCTCCTTCCTCCAGCTCCAACTTGTTCAGGCAGGCCCTGTGAGTTGGGAAATTCTGTGCTAAAAGAAGTGACCAGATGGCACCAAGGACGGCCAGAGAGGCCTGAATGCCTTCAACACCTCTGCACGTTGAGTTCATTGTTCCATAGCTAACAGGTGCCGTAAGCCAGCCGTAAACAAACCTTCACCTGAGAAACCAGGCTGCTCATGCAATCTGTGCTGTTTCTTGCATGCCAAGGGGCCAAACAGGACTACACCAACTTTGTGCATCAGACAGGGAAAGAAAAAGAAAGAAAAATTCAGCAAAGTTCTTGGCAACCTGTCCGGCTGGCTCTAATTATTAATGCTGCCATAGAAGCAAGGCTATGAGAATGCTTTAACTTGGTGTTTTTACAGTCACTCCTGAATTCAGAACTTCTGTTAGTGACAGAGAAGCCAGAATGGCAGGGGGCATTTCTGAGCTCCCATTTCGTTGACGACTAGAACTGTCTCTTTTAATTAGGCTCAATCATTGAACTAAAATCCTTTGTTCTGTTGTCAGTTGTCACTGAATGCATGAAAACACAGCCTTGGGTCTCCTGCTTGGAGAATAAAGGAAGTCAAAGCGAAAATGTGAGCCCTCCATCCCAATGTGAGATCTGTAAAGCAACTCAAACAGTTGTGCTCCCACCCATTCCCAGCTGTGTCCAAGCTGGATCTGTTGGCATGCCAGCAGTTCTGCAACAAGCGTTATGAACAGCCAGGAGTTCTGATTGATGAGTTAAATTAACGAGCACACATGGGTGCCTTTGGCTAAGGGGGGCTGCTGGGTTCGTTAATTGTTACTGAGAAGAAGAAAATAATTATAATAGTACAATACTAGAAAACACTTTATTATCCCTGGATATTCATGGGATCATGGAATCGGAGCACAGAATGGCCTGGGTTGCAAAGGCCCACAGTGCTCATCCAGTTCCAATGCCCTGCTGTGTGCAGTCACCAACCAGCAGCCCAGGATGCCCAGAGCCACCTCCAGCCTGGCCTCGAATGCCTGCAGGGATGGGGCATCCACAGCCTCCAACTCTGGTTGTATTCAGAGCTCACTGAAATCAATGGAAATCCGTCCAAAGGCTTGAAGTGGAATTCAGGTCAGGCCTGAACTCAGCAGAGCATTCTTAGCTGGATTACATGGCGGGTCTCCTGGTCACCAGGCAAGCCTAGGCATGAGGTGCAAAGGGAAGAGTCAGATGCAGTTTCTCTAGTAACTGCAGGCCGAACCTAGAGCAAACATTTCCCTGAGCACCAGACCAGCTCTGCAGAAGCTTTTGCATTTTCTGTATCGATACCAGCAGAGCTGAGGGCAGCTTGCTGCTGGCAGCCTTCCTTCTCCACGCCGCCTCCTTTCTGTAGATGATCAACTACAGACACCTTCAGGTGAGCAGCTGAAGTCACAACTACTGATGTAAGTTCAAGGAGCGTGAGTTGTTTCATGATGGGAAAACATCTGAGAGAAAAGGCCTCTCCATCTGCTTTGCCAGGGCTGTGGGTCTGTCTGCTCTGTCCTCCTATGGCTCCTCAGCTCCTCTTTGACTTAAAAGCAGTCTGAGGCTGCAGGTATCACCGGAGAGATGTGATGGAGCATCAAACCTGCATCACAGCCCCTGCAGCTCCAGCCCAACCCGCAGCCATTTGTCCACAAGAGAAGGCAGAAACTCGTGCTCCATATTGACTTTGCCCATAGAAACCTCTTCTGCAACAAAGCTGCCCATCCCAAGAGCCGTGCGGTCGGTTCAGGGCTGGGTCCATCCTCCAGGCGCCAGCCCTGAGTGCCCATGGTGACAGAATGTACACAAAGGGCTGACCCACACCCGGCTGGGGCCACTCCAGCACAGCCATCCGTGGGGAGAGATGGGGACCCAGGTGCCCCTGTAGGGTCCATCCCATCCCATGGCTGCCTGGGAAAGTGGTGGATGGAAAGAAAGGAAAGAAGAAGTTCGCTGTTCTTCTCTTCCTGTTAATTCTTTTTGAGCATTTTATTGCAAATTCAGCCCCTAGCAGGATTTCCACAAGGTAAGCTTCTTAAGGGTAAGTCCTGAATGCTTTTTTTCTGCATTTTAACAGTATGGCAGTTATGGTTGAAAGCTAGCAAAAAAAAAAAAAAAAAAAAAAAAAAGTTTAATTTGCAGGCAAAGTTCTCCCTGTAACCTTACAGGCTCTGTCTCATTGCTGAGTTAGCAGCAGCCTGATAAATCTATATAAAATAATGTTATGGTATTACTAGTTGCATACACATACATTAGACACGAGGCACAATTAATTATAACTACTTTCTGCCCGTTCCACCTTGTTCTGCTGACCAGATTTTCCTGTTTCTTTGGTAGCACTGCAATGTTTGAGCAGTGTGGGGGCTGACAACCACCTCTGCCTCTGTTTCTGTATCTCAGGGGAAAAGAGAGAGCTCTGGATTTAGTGGAATAGCACTAAGGGTGGTATGACCAATGTTTTCTGACTGTTGCTATAATAACACATGGAGTACTTTAATATTATTGGGAGTGCTTTCTTCTTTTTCCAGGTGTGAATTCCACAGCACCATCATGAGAGCAGTGCTTGGTTTGTAGGCAGTGTAGTTAGCTGATTGTACCCAGTGTCCCACAATCACTACATTCACTGCCATCAAAACAAGGCACAGGACCCCGCATTGCAGCCTCACTGCATCCTTATTCCTAGTGCAAAAAGGGTCAATGTTTCCTTGTTTACATCCTTATTGCCAGTAATGTTAGCTGCCCAACAGACATTGGTATATGTTGCCAATATCAAGTGAAATATTGGATTTGCTTAGATGTATGGTCTGATTTTTGGGTGGTCCTGTGTGGAGCTGGGAGCTGGGCTGGGTGAACCTTATGGGTCCTTTCCAACTTGGAATGTTTTATGATTCTGTGCTAAATTGGTGCTAAAATCCTTTGGGACATTCCTGGGACAAGAATGCTGTCTGCTGTGCTGAACTCATCGAGTCTCATGAAGACTTTTTGTAACTCGATTGTTGGTGCACCAGGAATGGGCTGAGGATGTGTTCTGTTCTGCCTTCAGCTGATCTGTCAGCTGCAAAGAAATCCATTTGCATTCAGCTTTCATGTCTGACTTAACAAGCCAGTAAGCCAAGAGGGTTTTAAGCACTGATTAAATATAAAGCTAAGTGAACGCTACCAGTGGTTTTGACCACTTTGCTTAACGTTCAGTAATGATAATAAGGGGGAAAAAACAAACTTAATACTACTGCAATATTGGGGGGAGGATGTTGTTTGTTTTCTTTTTTAGAAAAACCCAAATTTCATACAGGTAGGAAGAAGAAGGGAGGAGCTCATCCATCAGCCTGGTTACTAGGCAGTGTAGTTAGCTGATTGCCACCAGTACCAATCACTAACCACACAGCCAGGTGAAAAGGCTGGGGAGGAACCCAGGGGGGCACACAGGAATTCATCGTGCCCAAGGACATCCCCAGCACTTCTGAGCAAAGCAAGTCTTTTCTTCTTCCCAAAATTCCTAGACGTGGGCTGTGCTCATCTCAGCCTTGGGCTTGCCAGACTTTGCGTCCGCCTTCCCGTGTTGAAGAAATGTCATTCAGCCCCAAATTTAATCAAAACAAATGTTTTTATCATCAGTCCGAACAGCAGGGCCTGGCACTCAGGCTGTGGGGCGGGACTGGAGCCACCAGATGGAGAGGGGCCATCAGAGCACAGCTCCACACTGGCCCACAGAGCCTGACGAGCCCCTCGTCTTTGCTGGATCGAGCCCAGTTGATGTGGAGTTTGCCCGCATCTTCTGGAGCACAGCCGTGCTGCCGCCGCTCTTTGAGCCCTGCCTGTGTCCCACCAACCTGTGCCGTGAGGGACCTCCGTCCCCTGGGCAGATCCCAGCCCACAGACGGACCCCATCAGCAGCTCATGGCGTGCAGGAAGCTGAAGCAAAAGACAAACACCGTCAGCAGGTAAGAGCTGCTCGCCCAACCCTTTTCTCATCGCCATTCCTGATCTTTGTGCCTCCCTTGGTGGAGCTTTGGAACTTTGGAAATGACGTGAAGGGCAGATCCAAAAGCAGCCTGGTCCTGGCTAACAGTTGTGCAGACAACAGCTGGGTGTGCTTCCCAGTCACTGATGTGATCTGTAGGTGGAGCCTTTTACTGAAGCCCTATCACTCTAACCCATGTATTAATGCCCCACGTATGTATCACAAATGCACACTAGTGGAAACGAAGACAACTAGCATTGAATACGTAATAGCGTGGCCTGACTCTGCAATGATACCATGTTATTTTTTCGTATGGGACATGCTGTGAGCTTCAGGTATCCAATAAGAAGATGAAAATCCATGCTGAATGATAGCTGTTGTATTTAGAGCTTTCCTTTCGCCGGGCTGAGCTGCACGTCAGTCATTCTCATGGGCTTCGTAGAGCATTTCGTGGTCAGCAATGGAATTTCAAAGTTCTTAACATTGCAAATCTGAGAAATCCGTGTAACCCATTTAAAATAGGAAGCCCTGGCATTGCCTTACTCTTGAAAACTCCAGACACTCAGGCTGACTCTCAGCTTCAATGAAGAATTTCAGGTTTACACCAGGAGCATCGTGTGCTTTTAGCTCCTTTTTTTTTCTGAGCTCATTTTGCTAAACGTTTCTTCTCAGGCCAAGAAGAAAGAAGAAATACTGGCTTTGCTGAGGAAACAGAGAGAAGAAAGAATTGCGGTACGTCTGATTGCTTTGGGTCCTACTCTGGTTCCTTTGGGTCCTGCTCTGGTTCCTTTGGGTCCTGCTCTG